TTCTTGCTTGGTTTAAATTGAAGGATGCATATGGGCTTCTCTTTTAGGCTGAAATTATTAGGTCGACAAGATTTTTGCTTCTTTCTGTTCTCCACATTTTGTTGTACCTGGGAATACAGGAATTTGTGTTATATAAATGCTGTTTGTTTGTTTTGTTTTAACATGGATTACATTCACGTGGCAAGGGAAGTACCAGCTGACAGTCCTTGAGGAGGGGAGGTACACATACCTTGTGTTTTCTAATCTTTTCACTCCTTGCCCTAAAATGTGTGTTGCATGATCACGTGCTATTAAACAACTGGTATTTTCCATCCTCAAATGTGTACCCACGGCTAGTAAAATAATCTCTTTATGCCTCTCATATCCCATAATATTATTGTGGTAAGTATTTGGAATTAAACACCAGGATATCACTTTCAACATTTTCAGTTGATTCAGAATCCTCATTGTAGGCTGTTATATTGTAGTTTTTTATATATTACCTATTATAATAGCAGAACTATTCCAGTAGGACATCAAGCCTACAACTTATAAGAAATTATATGGATACCTGTGACAGAGTAATATATAGAAACCTGTCATATAGAGAGGGAGGATTTGATAGATCTCTTACTGTATTTCTGTGTTAATGAAATCATACAGGATATTTTCTACAGAAGATGCTAAAGTTTGTTGAAAGACAGTGAATGGTAACTATTTTAACCTTGGTTCCACTTACAAGGGTTCTAAATATGACAGTTATCTTGTGATATTTTAAACAGATTTTGCTGTCATTATAAGTTGATATTCTTCAGCATTGCTTTTTCAGGGAAACACTTTTTTTTTTTTTTTTTTAATAATTAAATGTTTTCACTCCTCATGCCTTAGGTTTCATGACTTTTTTTTTCCTGAATAGCTGAATTGTATAATTTCTGTAGTCAAGCTGTTAGATATGATCAAACTTGTCACGGTGCAGTCTTTCTCAAAACTCATAACTGGGGGAGATGGGGAATGGATATATAAACATCAAAACCAATGAGTCACATATTGTCTGAGGTATTTAGGAGCAGCAGCTCTTGGCTGGAGACTGGACAGGGGTGTGGATTTATTGACTGCAGTAAGGGCATTCTTATTGGCTTTGCTACAGTTGTGGTCTCACCTCTCACGTCAGTGGTTTAATAAGTGATATGAGACTCACAGGATTTAAGGAGAAGGTCTGAGCATAAAATCGATCACGTGTGCAAACATATATTCTGTTTGGATATGCACTAATATACACTCAGCTGTACAGCTTAATGAAAAGTAACTCATTAAATTGTGGGTTAATCAAACCTGTAAAATTACAGCTTTCATATGTCTAATACATAAGGGGACATCTTTGCTCTAATGCCATAAGATCATCTGGTACGTGTGCCTCTCTTTTTCAAACCCTGACTGGTAAAGACTGTCTTTTCTCTGTTACACATCACATTTACTCCTCTGAGATTAGCTTTAGGGATATGGATTTGTGGAAAGACTTGTAAAATGAGTCTCTGAACTGACACTATGTATTACAATTTTCAGAACACAGTTCTGAAGAGAAAACTGCCTTTTCAAAGTTCAGCTTCTTTATAATAGAATGCTTTTCATGAGGACACGTTCTTACACCTGGATACAAATTTCAAGTGCAAATTAGAGGGGCAAGTGTTCATATTTCTGAGTGCTATTTATCTTACAGCTGTAGAAATTACAGTTGTGGCTGATAATATTGCCTTATTCCTTAATGCCATAAAGAAACAGTTTTGTTGCTTTCCTAAAGCAAGAGAAACACATATTTTTTAAAGTAAATAAGATTACTTCTTCACATGTATGCTTTTCAGTATTAGTATCAATAATTATAAGATGTCCATCAATGCAACCTGCTCGTCCAAAATTTCTTTTCAAAGCTTGTTGTTTAACAAGGTCTAAATATGCAATTTTGTGCTAGGCAGACACATGAATATGGCTACATATAAGTAGATATATACAATAAGGCAGAATGTGTTCATTTGTAAACAGAACTTACCTATTTGTATGTCTTAGCAGCCTTTACTCTAACATTAAACGATTGTTTATGTAAGGCCTTTATCACTGTAGTATACCAGTGAGTGATTTCTTGAATTCTATCTAAAAATGTAAATAAACTCCGTACTTTAACCGTGCTAACCAATACAATTTTTTTTTCATCCCTAAGCAATGTATTTTTCCAAGTCCGTTTGTTTGTATTCTGAAATTGGAAAAATCCCCTTATGCAGCATTCCCATAGTCAAATGTTTACAAGGGCATAAGGAATATAAAACAAAGGCAATTTTTAGGATTTTGTTAAGATTCATGTTTATCACAGTGTGGACAAAAAATGCAAAAAGAAGCATTTTCTTATCTATTCCTGTTACATTAGAAAAGTTCATGCCCTGCTCTTAGCATTTTCCAACACAGCTGTAGAGTAGTTTAAAGCCTATTTTTTAAATAAGTGATGCTCAATTTGTCTTTGATGATCCGCATGATTCAGGTGAGATGGGAGCACGGTCGGGCCCTGATTTGCATAAAAATTAATCACAGAAAAATGTAAATTGATAAAATTTTGCCTGGCTTTTCCCCCCTATTCGGGAACCCATGGATGGCTCCCAGAAGCAATCATCTCAGTATGGTGCCGCGTTGGATGCTACACAAACGATCACATTTGTGTTGAATACTCACTCATTTAAATGTCAGCACTGATGGGGCGGTACATCACCAGGAAAAAAGAAAAAAAAAAAAGAAAAATAAATACACAGCAGCTGAAGACCATCAAATCTGTGGGCACTCTTTAGAGATATATGATCTAATGTGAAAAAATTGTGGATTAATTATCCTTTTTTTTCAAAACGGTAATTGTTTTACTGTCGCAGCGGAAAAATAATCTGCAATTTATTTGGAATCAAACAAAAACTCAGTAATGTTAAATACATCATTACATCATTGTGTATATTAGAAGGCTACAATTAATTCCCGAGGCTCCTTTGGTCTCTAGAACTGCATAAAATGAAACAAAAGAACATTGCTATTAATTTTCGAACGCACTCTGAACCTGCAAATAATCTACCCAGCGAAAATAAAATAACAAATCAAAATAAAAACTTTGTAGTTTTATCTGCAAAGTATTTTTTTTTTTTATTTTTCTAAACTGCGTATTTGCATGACATTGCCGTCGTATCATTTTATCTCACAGTCCTTAATGAATTTGTCATCCTTTTAAAGGCAGGAAATAATTTTCCTCATTTCGTATATGTGTAACTGGAGCAGAGGTACTGTAGTAAAATTGCCAAAGAATTCACAGCACAGAATCCACCCCCTCTTGGTAACTTTGATATCAGAGAACTAAACTTGCTTCTGCAAGTTTTCTCCAAATTTTTATTTCTAACTGAGCTAAATCCGGCATAGAGAGAAGAAATAGTTTACACTTTTTTCACCTTTTTTTTTTTTTTTTTGCACCTTCTGGCTTTAAGAAGCAATGTCTAGAAAATTATAGCAACACAAGGACTTCTCTAATTTATAATCATCTGTAACAGGTCGGCCACAGTGCATTAGATCAGTGCATTAGGGGCTTGAATGCAGGGTTTCAGCACTGCAGTCTGAGCTTGAACTGAGAGGATATATTTTAAAAGCCGTTTGTTATGCCTGAATTGGAGAGCTTTGAATATTAGTATAATAAATGGTGTAGGTTAAATTTTTTTTTCTCCTTAAATTTGTTTTATTTAGAGGGGTCTGGCAGTAGTTGTATATGAGATTTATTAGGGACGTGGCCTGACTTTAATTCACATACCTTACCTTTCATACCACCCACTGTGCCAGTTTATTAAAAAAATTTATATAATGCATGTTAAAAGAACCGCCTTATCATCATTTCACAGAACCACATCTGACTTTGTGCAACTGTATTAAATGCAGAGCAATGGTTCTACTTCTAGATAGAATAATATATTTTATATTTTTCGACTTTTGTTGTGGAAGCCCGTGGTTCAAATCCTGGCTGCACCAAAATCAAGGAGAGTTTTGTCGGTGGTTTCAGCTCAGCAAGAATTTCGGTAAGGGTATATATTATTTATTTTCTGAAAATGTAAGGTAGTTGTAGTTTTGTGTGTGACTGATTGTATTTATCTACTGTGAAGGATATTGTGTGGGAAGAGAATATATGGTTGATGAAGGAAGCTTGTAGAATGTCTGAGAGCACAGGTGAGAATGTGGACTTAGTGCCTTCTGCTGTTGTTTGAGGGGGTTGTAGGGACTGTATGGATGGGAATTTAACCCCTTACTGGAGGACTGGGTTATTTTTGAGATTACAATCCTTTACTCTGTGTATGTTTATAGCTGCCAGTGTTGGCACTGTTGCTGTATTCTTATTTCTCATACATTTCACTTGAGCCTTCAGGCTGTTTTTCTCCCTGCTGGTCTATCGGACACGCAGATCCTTCTCTTTGATCTCATTCCTACACATTGCCCAGTCATGTTTCTGTCCCATATTATATTGCCTGCTCTTATTTAACTCTTAAATATTGATTGATATCAACAAGTGGTTACATATATCAACTGGAAATGATCTGCAAGAAGAAACAGTTGACACTGTATGCAGCACGAAGGTGTGTGTGGAGGAAACTGTGACTGGGTGCAGGAAGGTGGCTGTGTGAGAAGCGTGGGATTAGCACGTCAAGTGATGCATGGGTAGCACATGTGCTGCACAGAGATCTGTACCCCAAATACCCACTTGGGATTCTGTGTGCTGGGATTGTTTTCCAAACTCTGTCAGCTCTCACTGATACCTCCTTTCAGCCTTGCAGAAGCACTCTGAGTTGCCTCCCCACCCCAGCCTTACAAAAGGAAAACAGAAGCCATGCACAAGGCTTTTCTGCCTTCCACAGGAAACTAGGAATGCCCTGGATCCCCAGTAGATACTTCAAGAACTTCAGTACCATTCAGGGCACTGTTCTGGATGCCACATGTTACCTAATGCAATGTCTCTCCCTCAGCTCTCTTGACATCTCCGGTGGAGGTTGACTGCTAACTATGGAAGAAGTAAAAGGAAAATCTCAAATGACCTTCCCTAAAGATTTTTCTTTTTGGGTAAGAGGTAAAGGATTCTTTTTGCTTTCCTTCTTCCTCAGTCCCTGCATGTAGAGTCCAGAATACTTCACTTGCAGAGATATTTATAAACAGCATAATACCAGATATGTGGAAAATACTATGTCCTGATACTGGAAGTATTATTTTTCATCATGTTTCATGAAATGACTATTTTTATAAATATTAAACATAACATATGTAATTCAACAAATGGGTTTAATTTAGCTTGGATTTCTTAAGATAAAGTCTGTCTTTTCAAGCCTAATACTAAAAGAGACCAGATTTTCCAGAGCACCTGCAGTTCCTGCTGACTTCTAGGCTCCTCACTAAAGAGTCTTTGAAAATTTGATTATTCTTCTCTTGCAGAATATCAGCAACCTTAGATACCAAAGTCTGAAAACTTTAGCCTGTATTAAACAAAAGAAACTAAAGATAAAAAAAGAAAAAAAATGGGTATTGCCATGTGCAAGCTGAAAAACTGCAAAAAAGCATTTGTCCTTGGCAATAACAAAGTCCTAATCTGCTAAATCTTTCATACATGTTTATTAAAGACATGTTCTTTGGGCTGCTTTGGGTTCACCAAAGCAATTATTATATACAGTGTCATATTCAAATTATACACTACACTGCAGCTTGATTCATTGCAGTGCTAGAAAGAATATAATTGTTTCTCTATAGAAGATGGAAGGGTTCCTTTTTGTACCTTAAAAGCTTCTAGTTTTTAAACCTTTATTTCATGTCTGACTTTCCACACATGAAGAAATTCTTATTACTGTCCCTGTGTAAGTGAAGCCTTCTTAGAAAATACAGAAGAGAAGCTGTTGGGTTTTTTTTTAAAGTAGTTATTTCATAGCTGGCTTTAAGAGTTCATCCTTCCAAAGAGTCATATCTTTGTCTTATTCAGAGTGCTTAAGCTCAAATTACCAAGGGGGAAAATGATGCTCTGAAATTCATTCTGCTCTCAGCAAAACCAGGTCCAAAGCACATGGTTACCCTGATCCTCTTCATATCCCATCATGGACCCTTTGATGGTCTTTCATCCCCCTTTTCCTCTGGCTGGTGTGAATATACATACCTGGTGTGATCTGGAGAAGTTTGTTATTCCCAGGAAGACAGAATACTTGTAATTACCTTCTCCTCTTGGAAAAGGAAGTAAAGGAAGGTACTGTGAGTGCATCAGGCACAGCCATAATTCAGAAACAAGCTGAAAAAAAGGAAACAAGCTACAAGTTCCAACAGGAACTCTGGCAATGCAAAATCACTGAGAATTATAAATACACTGTAGTTGCTTGAATATAAGAAACAACTCAGTGCAGGTGGGTAGCTGAATAGAGGTATCCGTCTATTTCTCCCAAACTCCTCAGTCTGTAACACTGTATTCAAGTTTTTTTTAGTGATAAGTCTAATTACATGAAATGTGAAATACATGAATGAACCAATGAAAAAAAATGGAAGTAAGAAAAAAGCTAGATTTGATTTTGTTGTTATTCTTGTTCATTTACCAGGAGCTGAAGACTGAAATAAACTGGTGGTAAAATACTCTGGAAGGACATGTTGGATTTTTTATGGCATGAATCACGAACTATCAACACAAATTCTCCATGCCCTGACTGGAACCTTCAGAAGTCCTCTTTGGCCCATTTCATATGATCAGGTATGCTTGGGTATTTGTTTTTCAGGTTAAATGTCAGTAGTGATAAGATGTCTTAAAGACAACAAGAGCAACAAAAATACATTCCAACTTGTAGGAGCCTGCTCATTTCCAAAATAGCCAGAAAAACTCATAATCCTGATTAAACCATTAGATGGATTCAGATGGAAGACCATATAAATTGCAGAAGTTCCTTACTTCCAGCCATGAATTATATTAATTTTGGTGAATGATTACGAGGGAGGTCAAGACACTGACTTTCTGACCCTCAGGCAGCCTGCCCAACTCTTGTACCCCTCACACTAGGCAAGAGAGCTGTAGGACAACTGCTCACCACAGCTTCGTGTTCTCTGAGAACTGCTGTCTTGGTTGCTTGAAAAAAACCCCGTGTTTTCTTAGTTTGGATGTGCTCTGCGTCATATAAATCAGCAAATTTTAGTACATTTACTTCTTAGAGATAACTGGGCACTTGGCCTCAGACAGGTGAAGGCAATTCAGCTTTGTCCTGTTACATAAAAGTCAGGAACAGCTTCTCCCAGCTCTGTAGAAGCGCAGTATTCTGCAGTACTAATGCTTCTCTTTACCTTTGAAAGAGGCAATAGTGCAAACAAACCCAAATAAATCCCCCCAGGCTGTATTAATTCCAGCCATTTTGTGATCCACAGCAGCAGCCTGCTGGTGAAAGTTGCCAAGTGCCTCCCAGGGCTCTGCTAACTGGAGCAGATGTTTGCGGGAGGATCGTTTCGGATGTGTCGTTCCAACGTGGCTGCAAAGGCTGCAGTCAGCTACAGCTAGGTTCAGCCAAAATCAGAATTCGGAGTGTGATTGCCATTGGGAAATCAGCTCACACTCCAGTTCAGTGTGTTTAAATGATTTTTAAGTCAAAACAACGTCTCTGCCAGGAGGTCCCATCTTTCAGACAATTGGGAGACAGTGCACCAGCACAAGGACTCCAGCTGCTTTTGTCTTAAACAGCAGCCTAAATAAAAGGACTTACTGCATGCCTGATTTTTAACTTTTTTATAATTCAAACATGTCAGATTTGCACTCTGTACTGTGTAGTTACTTTCTGCTAATTATGTTGTCTCACACTGATGCCATATATCTTCTTAAATCACCATCCACTTCTCAAAATTTAACCTGAAATATCTGCACAGTGCTCTCTTGGCAGTAGTTTAGTTGCATGAAATTATCTCTCCCTGTTGGCTTTTCTCTTTTAGCATCCCTTAACTGTCCAAAACTAGTTCATAGGAAGTCAGAAAAAGGGATGGGATGTGTGATATCCATCACTGTTCCTGACTGGTGTGTGAGAAGTCTCTCTAGCTGCTAATTGGGAAACAGTTCTGTGGTAAGGACAATTAAATACACCATGGTAGGATCAATATATTGACTTCATGTGGGGAAAGTAAACTAACACATATGGATTTTTTTTTTATTTCCAGGAATTTCAAAAGAACTCTCAATTTCAAAGCATAGGTAAGGATTTTTCTAGTGTCTCAAATAAAAATATGATCAGAGTTACTGTTGCTAAATGAATTTGACATATAATAAGCCTGGAAATAAAATTCTGATACTTTGTTTATAGTTTGCCTTGAGTTTTGTGATTTACCTATACATACATGTGTGTGAAAGGAGATTCAGGGAGACTTGCCAGCTACTCAAAGCATTAGTAATTTTATTTCACTTTCTTTGAGATGGATCCTAAAAAAAAAACCACACAAAAAAACAACCAAACAAACCAAGACACAAACAATTGTAACCCTTCAATCTGTAATAAACTGAATACACCAAATGAAATCTTGTTTGCTGGCAGTAACTGGTTCAGCAGAGAGAAAAGTGTCTGTCAGGAAGCTTTGTGTGAATCACTGTCTCCATCTAGTGCTGCCTGCAAGGAATTGGTGAATTAAAACTCACAGGATTACACTACAACAGCTTCCTAACAGAAACAAAGATTGTCTCCTTTTTTACAACACCTTTTACTCCAACACCAGGTTAACAAACAATTGCAAATTCAGTGTTGTTTACATTGACTCCTCAGACACGACAGAAAATGACTGTGAAATAGTGTTGAGTCCTGTGAATAAAGCATTTACAAAGCATAACTTCTTCTTAGCTCGGGAAATATTATTTTGCAGTGATTCCAGATCCAACAGAAATATGAAGACAAGCAGTGACTGCAATCTGCAACGTTTTACCCTTTTAAATGCTTGCTATGGATTCTTACTATGAATTTCAGTCTTGGTTCCATGGACTGAACCCAGCACAGGTAATTAGTTTGTCCCTTTTTAAGGAATTAGAGATGAATATATAAGTGTGACTGATGGACTTGTGTGAATTTCTGTGCCTTGATACACACCCCAACAGACTCTATTTTTTAGCATAAGAAAGGAGTGGGAGCTGTTATATGATGTTATAGTGCTTTAAAAGGCTCAAAACCAGATTAAGCTTTTAATGATTTTTGGTGGGTATATTGTAATTTTCTTTTTTTTTTTTTTCAATTGTGCAAGTTATAACAATCATCATAACTAATTTTAATCTAACTCGCTGTTATCTCTTTGGATAATTTTAAACCCATGTTGTTTTCTGATTATGAACTGTAACTGATTTACCTAATCTTGCTCAAATAAGATAGTTACATCTCATCAGTTTTGTAGGACACCATATAAACTCATGTATCAAAAACTTAAATCAAGATTAAGATTATAGATTTTTTTCTATGAGTTACAATAGATTAAGTCAAGATAAGAATAGTAATTAACTGGTTTTTCTCATTTAATTCAGATTTGAGCATTGTTTGGATCTAATGTTACTGGTTATGATATAAAATACATGTGTGAAGAGTTGTATTAGGTACTTTCCTACATCTTCCACACAAAGATAAATATATAAAAACAATTAGCTATCAAGATGAGCATAAACTAATAACTGACGTAATAGCTTCAGATAATTCAAGTAACTTGAATTTAAATCTCTGAGTTTCACTGTACTGTCATGTAGACCCTTGGATTTCTCCAAGACTGTCAGGATCATGGATCAGTCTTCATTTTGTCTGGGCTGAGGATGCAGCTGTTTAACCCTATTGCAACTCTTGCTGGTCTCCTGAAATGAAACAACTAGGTCAGAGACTCTCATATTCCCCTTTCAGGGATCTGATGATAAATGCCACTTATTTTCCACAGTATGTTTGGGATAACAACCACAGGACCATCCTCTAACCATGTTTGTGACCACTGCTTCCTATAGTAAATGTCTACACCATCAGAGTTTGGGCAGTCTCCAGCACCCCCACTCTTTAAAGCCCCTCTCTGCATTTCTGTACATTGGAACCTAAGGCATATATATTAAAATCTCCTCACAGAAGGTGGGGACTTCTGTTCCTTCCTGTGCACTTTGTCACTAAAATTCTCCAATGTTCCTAAACCAAAAGTTGTAGCCTCCAGGTACTGTAGTAAAGGTGTGTAAGGGAATAGGAATGAGTTACCTGTAGTTAAGTGTCAGCAGTTTGGCATACCAGGGACTTCTTAACTCATGACAACAGCATAGGCAAGAACAGTTTCTAAGAAAACTCCAAGGAGTGTTTCAAAGGGCTTTCTAAATCACATCTTCATGAGTAGACTCTTTAGAGAGAAAGAAAAAAATAATTTAATACTGCAGTTGGTGACCTGGGTCCTCACCTTGGCCACCTGCACCAAAACGATGATGCTCAGCTGAGTGCTGCATGGACTGTTTTGGTTTTTAAAGATGTTTCTATGTCAATTCTCATTGATTTCAGTGGGTTGTTCTTTAAAAGTCAAGCTATGAATCAATCAACTGAAGCACTTAATCCACACGATAAAGGTCAGTGCAGCATTCATAACCTCACGTGGATCACTTTCTTGTCCATCAGACCAGAGCCTGCAGTATGATAATGTGCTCTTTATATATTGCTATCAAGAACCACCAGAAATCTAATATGTTTGAATATAATAAGCTTGAATATACCCACTGTATATGAAAAAATTGAAGGGTTGTATTTCAGTTGTCCATCCACAGACAGATACTTCTTTGTTTCTGTAAAAATTTTATTTTTACGTAGAGTCAATTTATGCTTGTTTGACTCTAATGTTAGCAATGTTCAAACTGCTGAGGAGAATTGGACTACAGTCACTTTCAAATTCATTTACTTCAAGTGTTTTTTTTCTGAGGATTAGGTTTTATGTTCATTTCAAATGTTGACTTTCATTTCTTGCCAAAGTAGCAAATCTTTTCTGAATTTTGAAAGATATTTGATCAAATGCAATTAAAAATGAATAGGATAACTACATTCACACTTTTTCAATTATTTCTTTCTGCATCCAGAAAAGATTTCTTTTACTCCTCCAGTTCCAAGTATTCTGACCTATAGCTAAGTGGAAGTTAAAAACAAACAGAAAATGGAACAGAATGAAATCTCATTCTGTTTTGTTAAGTAAAAACTAAAGAAATAAAAATATAACCACAAAAGTTCACTTCTTTTTTTTATACCTAAGTTGCACAAAAGCTGTGGCTGCTTCTTAGTAGAGTGCAGCATCTGTCAACTGTTGTGTTTGATCTGCACTGCTGCAATGTTCTTTTAGGGGGTTCTGGGAACATCCCTTGACTCCTTCATCCCATGGAAATGCCATGGCAAGTGTACGGGATCTTCTTGAGTTTTAATTTCATATTCACTTCCAGAAAGTATTTTCATTGATGTTTTCTCAAGATCCCTTAGTTCAGTTTGTCTTTTGTTTTAAACATGAGATGTTAAACTAACGTGATAATTTGACTGTCAATCTGTTTATTCCTCTACATCTTTCTAAGACTTCATTTAAAAAGTTTGAATGTCTGGTGTTACAGATAAATTATATCTTGATTTGAAGATCTTATAATTTCTAAGGATTTAACTGAAACTCTTCTATGTCTAAGTTATATTTCAGTGAAGAAAAGTTGGACTCTTCAAACCTGTCGAATTTCAGGAAAATTTATGGAAGACAAGAAACCCTCTCTGTTAATAAGAAATACATATCTCAAAGAAAAATCTGCTTCAACGTCAGCTTTGATTCCAGGGCTTTCCAAGTGATCCAGGATGAGTAACTGAGGTACATCTAACATTCAATGAACTTTCATCAACCTGAGGTCTATATAGCAAAGAACCTGAAGCAAAAGTTTAATCTACTGAATCTGCCTGTAGATGGCCAGTATAGCTGACATGATAAGACAACACTGACAGAACAATATAAGTAACAAATCAAATATAAATCTAGGCACATACATGGAATTGGGTATACTTTCATGAAGGTATCATTTCTATATTTGTGTATCTAAGAAGGAGGGGGCTTTTTTAAATAGGTACTGTAGTTCAGGTACATTGTGGTATTTTTAAGTTGTGGTTGGTGGTACTTCTAGCTGATAACACGGACCAGTTATCATTTTATCTACCATACATTTTAATATTTACTGTTTCACACTTACTTTCACATTTCCTCTGCAACACAAGAACATTTATTTTAATGTGTTGTGTATTTTTGCAAGTAAGTTCATGTTCGTGTGATCAGCTGCAGAATCAGGGTGTTATTACAGCTGATTGTTGTTCAGGTTGTGTTCTTATCTACTTAATAATCATCTTCCATTGTAATTTTCTAACACTTAACTATATTTTCAGATGGGTGTGAGGGGAGAAGCATGAAGGGACAATGAGCCTGGCCACGGACACATTCCAAAGCAGAGAATCCCTTGTGGAACAAAGTAACATGCATGTTGTGTCCATACTTCCAAATGGAGAATTTAATGAGGTAAATGCATCACAAGAAATAGAATTTGTGGTAATTTGTTTCATTTATGCTAAATCTAACAAAGCAGAGTAGGTTTAATTTGCTGTGCAGACATTTTGTGTGAAGGTTGCCATTTGAAAAAGAATAAATCAAGGTATTCTTTGATAATGAAAAATCACAGGAAATAAAATTAAGCTTTAGAATTTGCTCTGTTGACCTCTAATGCTGAAACACCAAGTCTTCAGAGACTTATTTCCATGACATCATGGTACTGAGTATTTAGCTTACTATAGAATCTTTTTTCCATTGTTTATTTTATCAATGTTCACCTGTAAATCAGGTAAAGTCAACAAAAAGAGGCATTTTTTTGGCAGAGTATGAACTTAGCCCACTGATATCCTTTCATACCCCAACTTTATATGGTTTTTTTTGCAATACACCCAGTAATCTTAAATTGCAGCCACAGTGGTTTTATTGCCTGAAGAATATAGCTCCATTCTTAGTCCCATTGACATTCTTGTTGCAATTGGCAATCAGTAATTACAACTTGAAGTGTTTTAGGGTGACAAAACTGGACTTTAAATGGCAAAATTTTACAACTGTATTAGATCCAAATGTGATAGATTAACCTTGCTCAACAAAATAATTAATCAGGAATTGAATCAAAAGTTGTCTGCTTCAGTAAGTGACTGTTAACCTCAGGCTGTGTAGTTTTAGTAGCCTTCACATCTATTGAAATAGAGATTAAAAAAAAATCACATGAGAGAAAGGAAAGGGGACAGCAATAATTTATGTATGCTCAACAATCAATGAAGAAGGGGGGAAATGCCAGTCACATCAAAAACTGCTTAAAGTAGCCGGATGCATTTCTAATAGTACTTTCCAGCAGAGATGTTGTACAGTCACCTCCAATCATAAAATTAGAAGGCAAAGTGTTCTGCAAGCCAGTAAAATCCTAATCCTGAAAAGACTTAGTTATGCTTGATTTCTGCAAGCCAAGGGAACCATCACAATGGTAGTGATGTTCAGAAGGCGTTTGCTGTGCTTGCAGAACGAAGGTCACACATAAGATGCAACAGATCCTGTGGAATACTTATTTTGAAGCTTCAGATGGTCTTGCATGTTCATTGCTTCCAAGGTCGAGAAGCTTGAAATGTTTTCCTTTGTCAGCCTGTGTGTTTTTGTATATGGGATGTCACTGCTCTCTATAAACATTTACAATATACTTGTGTGAGGTTAATTTTAAATATACGCATCTCTGCAAGATGCTAATAAGCCAAAGCAGAAATTGAGAAGGTTTGTTGAAGCAAATCTATCAAATTAAAGTAATGTTTTGCTCTCTCACTGAAAGCATTTTCACAAGCCACTTGAAGTACTGCTCATTCTTAATAGCCCATTCCCTACAGAAGTCCCCAGTCAAGAAGTCTTATTGCCTTATGCCTGTGAAAATGCAAGTTTGATGTAATGGAGGGAGAGACGAAAGCAAAGCTATCAGCTGTTACTGGAAGAGATAACCCAAATGTGGTAAAAAGACAATAAGGAGTCAGTAATTCATTTTAGTAGTGGTATAAAATTAATTTCTTTGAACACAGTTAACTTTGAGTACATCTTAAACTAGAAAAAAATCAGTTATCCATAATTTAATCAGTAGCTTACTCCAAAAGCCACCAGTGCAAAAGCCACCACTTTTTTAGTATTTGATGAATTCATTTCTTGATTCAAACAGACATTGAAAGTTGCCCTTTGAGCATATCTTACCTTGTCATTGGCTTGCATTCACATAATCTCTTCCTTCAAATCCCTTCTGCTCATTTCAGAAGTAACTTCTGGATTTCTGAACTGGAGTTGATGCCTTCCTTGACGTAGAAAGTACAAGTATTTTTTTTTTTTTTAATTTTTCTTACTCCATTATTGTTTATATGATCCGTGAGTTTGAGGGAGTGAGTATGGAAAATTAGTATTTCCAGTCCAAGTTTGTTACAGAAGTGTTGCCTGTTGTCATAGCTCTGGTTCCTTTGGGCAGCAACTTTTCCCTCTTTGGGCAGCTGGCCCAGTGTGCCTTCCACACTAACCTAACCCACTGAGGGTAAGGCTGCAGTGTTGGTGGCCCTGAAAAGATTAAAAATTATAAGTTAGGGGCTCGTGGGATGGTTTTATTAAGGATTTTACTATTGAATCTTAATGAAGAGGTGTTTGCAATACTCGCAGAAACATGGGAATTATTGAAATAACTGTCCTTATTGGCAATTACCTTATTCTGTAGTAAATATCACAGTGACAAGTGATTTAATGATGAGCACAAGAACTTTCTATCAAAGGTTTTTACAGCAAACCCTTTAAAACACACATCAACTCTAAAATATTTAAGTATCTTTTACTAAACATTGAAAACTTATTTGATCCACTCTACATATGGTATTTTTAATCAAGGGGATAAACCCCCACATTTTACACTTCATTTTATGTGCAAAAAGGGTAATGTATATGCCATGAAAAACTTGTATGCATTGAATAAGTTAAATATATTGTTTCTCATATTGTTAGCAGAGATGTTACCTTTTGACCTTCCTTTTGAGATTTTTTGGAACATTTGATGCTTCTGATAATAGTTTAATATTACTTCCTTCACATTGATTAAATACACTTCATACATCACTGAACAATGAGTAACATTCAAATAAGGCTGTCCATTGAACTGCCTGCAAAAATGATAAAGTAAAAAATTAATCTCCAAAGTAAAGTCAAGCCTGAAATTGAAATCTTTGATGCATACATTTCATAATTAGTTCATTCTGCTATATCTAAAATGCAAATACAGTGCTCTTAAAATAATTCAGATCTTCCTGCATGGAGCATTAATGAATTGTTCTAGCTTCTGCACCTCTGGCTGCGAAGGATTCTGGAGTCATTTGACTTTGTTGTCATTTTCTTTGTTAAGCTGATGAATTTTCTTTTTTAGAAGGTTACTTAAAATAGTCCTCCTTATCTCTTGTGTTACCTTAGCATTTGCTTCAGGCACGGGATCCACCTACATGTCAAGGGAAAAAAAGTTTTCACAGAATATGAGCAGGGTCAAGGCATAAGGATATAGTTGGACTCACTCCCCTGTTGCTCTGGCATCACCCACTTCCAATTATTTTTTAGTGATCCAACTGTTGTAGGTCTATTCTCTAAACTAGAATAGTGAAATTTTCCTACCATGGGAGTTTTTAAAATTTTTTTTTTTAAATTTCTTTCTTTTTTTTAATTATTATTTTTTTGTTGCCTGTGTGCATGGGTGTTTTTTGGTTTGCATTTACATGTTTTAGCTTGGGTCATTTTCCTCAAACATTTTATTTGGTGTCCACAGCAGCACTTGGATGAGTTCCCACTTGATGTGACATTATTGACTAGTTACCAAGCTAAAACCTTGCAAGAACTGAAAGGTTAAGTCATAAACAGTATCCATATTAAATTAATAAGCAGATAGTGATATTCTTTGTGCCTTGCTTTTGAGACAATAAATCATTACATTTAAGGGTGACAAAACTGCAAATAAATGATGCAACTTTACTGATGAGCTGAAGAAAAATGTATCTTACGTTTTAGCCCAAATGGCTAAATTGGGCTAAATTGGCCCTTCTTCACTGTAGAAAAATAAGTTTTCTGAATAAGGAAATGAATAAGGAAAGTCTGCATTTTGTAACATCTAAGCAAGAAAAATAATTAGTAATAGCGAGTTTTAATGCTTTTGAAACATCAACACTCCCATATATTCTGAGAAAACCCATTCATATACTGATAAAAGCGGAAAACCAGAAGACTGACTTCTGCTCAGCTCTGCTACAAATCATAGACTCACAGAATCATAGAAAGGACCTTAAGGATCATCTAGTTCCAAACCCTACTATGGACAGAGATACCTTTCACTAGGCCAGGTTGTTCAGGGCTTCATCCAACCTGGTCCTGAACACTTCCAGGGATGGGGCATCCATAACTTTGCTGGGCAACCTGTGCTGGTGCCTCACCACCCACACAGTCAAGAATTTCTTCATAATACCTGATCTTAATGTACCCTCTTTTAGTTTGAATCCATTCCCCCTTGTCCTGTCACTTCATGCCCTTATAAAAAGTCCCTCTCCATCGTTCTCGTGGGGTCCCTTCAGCTACTGGAAGGCCACAGTTAATTGCTCCACAGCCTTCTCTTCTTCAGGCTGAATAATCCCAGTTCTCTCAGTGTTTCCTCATAGGTTCTCCATCCCTCTAATCATCTTGGTGGCCTCCTCTGGATTCTCTCCAATGGATCAGTGTCCTTCCTGTGCTGGGGACCCCAAGGCTGGATGCAGCACTGCAGGTGGGGTCTCACCAGAGCAGAGCAGAGGGGCAGAATCCCCTCCCTCACCTGCTGCCCACCCTGCTTTGGATGCAGCCCAGGACAGGGTTGGCTTTCTGGGCTGTGAGTGCCCATGGCTGGCTCATGTCCAGCCTCTCATCCACCAGCACCCCCACGTCCCTCTCCCCAGAGCTGCTCTTGATCTGTTCATCCCCCAGCCGGGATGGATGCCGGGGGTTGGCCTGACCCAGGTGCAGCACCTTGCACTTGGTCTTATTAAACCTCATGAGATTCCCATGGGCCAATTCTCAAGCTTGTCCAGGTCCCTCTGGATGGGATCCTGTCCTTCAGGAGTGTCAACAGCACCACTTAGCTTGGTGTCACCTCCTAGTTTGCTGAGCGTGCACTAGATCCCTCTGTGTCATTAATGCAGATATTAAATAATTGTCCCAAAGCAGATCTCTGAAGGGCAGCACTTGTCACTGATCAGGACTCTGATGTGCTATCTTATGGTACATGTCTGCTTCTTCTTTGCACTGATGGTAAAATGAGCATTTGTTTCAGAAATGTTCTCTGCAAGTTGAAAAACAATGTTCAGACCATGGTGGAAAGCTGGGCATAGCATGAAAGTCACTTTCTTTGAAACATATGTCTAACTCCCATAACATAAATAAGAGAGAAGGTAGGGATGTCAACAGAGTAGAGGCACAGCAAAAATTTAGGATGAAAGTACTTCAGAGGGGTGGGTGAAACAGATACAGATTTCACAATGTACACCTAGAATAATCCTGTCATATTGCTAGAGTATCTGTGTCAGAGTCAGTCTTCAGATCTGAGGTTTAGGATAGAGGCAAAGTAAAAAAGGTACAGTCATAACCACACCTTAAAAGTTCAGAAAGCATTCTGGAGAATATAAAGTTGGAATAAATGCTCAAAAGTATCCAAGTGCCTTCAACAAGTAAGACTCATACTGATTTTTACACTATAATACAAGTTCATTTTTGCCAAATACTATTTGTAAGTAGTCTGTAACTCCATACTAGCAGCTGTGACCCACGAATTTTAGCATAAGAAGAAAAGATATATAAAATACTTTAAGGTTAGATACAAATTGGTTACATCTTATCATGGTATTCTACAGTGGCTATACTATACACAAAAACTGACTTTATGCTACTGAGGCCAGTCTCCCTGTTGTTACTGCAGTAATTCAGAGCCCAGTGGACAAAGCTTAACAGGAAGCCCATTTCTGCTGTTTGTAAATGAGCATCCATAAATTCAGCCTTTGGGAGTCAAAGCCTTGTGGACACAGTGATGAGACTGTGCTGCCCATATTTATGAACAAGGAATTTTGCTCGTGCCTTTTGGAAATGGCACATCATGGACAAAAAGTAACGAGACCAAGCTGGCATCACTGTTGGACTATTTGTAATTTCCAGAAGTTTTTTTCAAGCAGTTATAGATCAAAACTAGAGAGAATGAAATAAGGTATGATTTGGAATTGGGAACTATCAGAAGACTGAGAAAGAACAGGAAGGGTAAGGATAAGGATGGGGAAGTTAAAGCAGGAGATGTTTATTCAGAAAGTCAGAACCAAAAGAAAAGTAAGAAGTGCTTTTGAGAGAACAGGGTAAATTTGCAGTGGTCACAGATTTTTCCTTTCTTCTTCTAGTGAATATTAGTTTGCTCCATCTCGTTCCCATCAGATGCCTGTCTGTAAGAATTCAAATTCAAAGTTTCAAATGCAGATGGTTAAGTTTGAAAGACCCACAATCTTCCTAAATGCAACCAAATTTCTTTAGCCTTCTGTACCACATACTACTTGTGTGTGACTTTTTTTGGTAAAACAAGAACACAACCTGACCTGAGAAATTAGAAATATGCAAGCTAATAGGAATAAATTAGGAATGACGTGTAGGCACCATCCATTTTATTTGGAGTTAAAGGATTTTTGTTTTGCATGAAATTTTTCGTTTTGTTAATGTTTTTTTGGTCACTAAAAGATTAAATTGTGACCCTAAGTATCTGTGTGGGGAAAAAAAAAGAAAAAGAAGCATAAAAATATAATAGCCTTTCTTAGATAGTATGTATTAGAAATTTAGGAGACTAAGACTGTAATCCTTTCCATGTTCTTCTGTATTGCAAGTTCTAAGCTATTTCCACAGCAGTCACCCCAGGCCATTGCATCAAGGTAAGTCAAGGATTTTTTGTTTCTCAGCAGCCACCCCAACTTAATCTCTAACAATTTTAGAGATCCTCCTTTGTTCAATGATATAATTCCACAAATCGTTAACAAACCCTCTTGTTGCAAAATAAAAGCTTTACTCTTGTTTCAACGTTTTACCACGCAAGTTCATTGAAATTAAGCTTCTCCAGTGTGAGTCCAGCTTTTTCTGAAGAACATTGGAATTCTTGTAACAGCAGAGGTGTGCAGAGGGTGATGGAAATCAGCTGAACAGGGACTGTGGAAAGCAGCTGCACTTACTGCATGGAGCAAGAGATGGCGATATTTTCTTATGTGTTAGGAGAGTTAGATACTGTATCTCTCTCTAAAAGAATTTTAAATCATATATTGACAGTTATTGAAACCCAGCATAGAAATAGTTTTTCAGAAACTCAGTGCTTGTATTGCTTATGGATAAATGTTAGTTTTAGGAGCAGATAAAAAAACCCCTCTTTTACACAACCAGAATTTAAATATAAAAACATCCTAAAGCCTGTCCCTGCTAAGGTCACGATCTGAGTTTAATTACTGCGTGGCCTTTCAGCCCAGAAGATGATATGATGTGAAAGAGTACGAGGGAAAAGATGCTCCCCAAGGAACATTGTTAACATAAGGGATTTTACCTGCTTAAAAAGATGCAGCACACAGGTCTGTGGAAGGTGAAGAGGCTAATTTAGCTACTTGCTGAAAAAGAGGCTTGGGCTCTAGTTCCTAGGAAAGAATATTCATGTGTTAATGTACTACTACTAGAGGGGAAAAAACGTATACACACACACATATACCTATAAATATATATATTTAAATTAATCCTTAGATTAAGAACTGACTGCAGAACATATATTTCACCACTTTGCAAAAGATATAGTTATAACTTTTCTGTTTTATCTTTTAAGCAATTCACATGCCAAGTCAAAACCTAAAGCAAATTCTTGCTTTTTAATACAGAAATACTCCTGGCCAGAAAATGTTGATGAAATTGATGATAGCATGGATTCCCAAAGGACAAGAATGAAGAATCATTTGAGATTATGAACTGCTAAAAATCCCGAGACAGCAATATCTTTATACTTCCTTTGGAATATTTTTCTATCTAGTTTCCCTTCCTTTGTTTTTTTCTGTTTTTCTTTTTAAATACAACTTTCCTATCCCACCTCCTTGTCCACAAGTATACATTACACCTACTTTTCTAATTTAGTTCTCATAGGAAGTTTGGGTAAAAAGTAGAAACTCTGAAGACTCATGTTTGTATGCAGCAATCAATATTTTAAGTCCACAGAACATTTTATCAACCTGAAATTCAGCTGCTTGTTCAGACCTCAAAGCTCCCTGCAAGATTTAAAAAAAGTGCAACCCAATGGTTTGAGTTGAGAGAGAGCAGCACAAGCCAGGCTCTGTTTTTGGGAGCGTGGGATTCTGACCTGGATGTTATGGTAGTGGAAAAGTCACCAGGCTGTAGCAACCACAGCAGCTGTGCAAAGGGGAAGGACAATCCAAAGTGTTACTTTGCCTTGTGTTCCACAGCCTCAGTGTTATGAACACAAACTCCTTCTAATATTGCTTAGAAAATTAATGTGACATTACAGATGGCTGTCCTTTACTGTGTTTGGGAAAGAATTGGTTTTAATGCTTTAATAGGTCCTCAATATTCTTCTGTCATTTCCTTACTTTATTAGCCACTATTTCCTGCGAGGAATCTCACAAATGAGTTTGAAGAAAGCTAATGTGCTGCTCTGATGACAGATTGCTTTCAAGACTGATCTCAAGGAACTTTCTTCCCTTCTTGCAAATGAATCATCGTCGTTCAATAGTGGACTGTTGGACAGATATGGGAAGTGCTCTTTGCTTTAAAGCTTTCCAACATGAGGAATGCTCTTAGGGTCACAGTAGCATCAAATAAAAGTAGCATGCTGCCATAGAGGCTCAGATTAGCATTATTATAATGAACCCAGACATTAAGTCCTTCAAAAACAGAGGGAAAACATCAGCTTGTGTGCACCATTTGCCTTTAATCAGATACACACTGAACTCACTCAAAATGCCAATAGTTTTATAGATTGCTGTTCAGTTTAGTAGTTTTTTTCTCTACTTTTTTCCCTTAAGAGATGAAATCCACAGCAGCAGCGTGACAGAAGATACATTAAATTAGTCAGTGAACCCATGAAGAGAAAAACTCCATCTTTCTGCAGTAACAAGAGAAATTCCAAGTAGTTTTTGTGAACGCAGAAAGGTGTCCAACTTTAACAGCAGCATTCCCTTTGCATCTCCTGTAAATCAAAACTAATCCACAATATTGAAGATTTATATATCCAGGACTATATTTTCAAGTTCTTTTATATATTTCTGATGCACCAACTTTTCGTTATATCTCAACTTGTTTAACCACTTTGCAAAAACTAAAATTGAAAGAAAACTCGAGTTCACCTTTTTAATACTCATTAATTAATTAACTAAAATATTTAAAACGTTTTTACTTTCTTAAACCCCTTTTGATTCTTATTCTCTCAAAAGCAGAGCCACATGCTCTTTCTTTTTTCTTCTGTAGTATTCAACATTCTTTTTTTTCATATCAAATCTTTTGTTTTTCAGAGACAATGCTCTATGGCTGTTATTACCAAAACACTTAATTTTGAGCTGGTCACAACTGTGTGTGCTGCATGAACTGTATCACTGCAGAATTGCTGCTGCAATTACACTGTGGAGACAGTTTGTGTTTAGCAAGGCAAGCTTCCATCATGTTATGGGATCATAGAATCATTTAGGCTGGAAAAGATCATCAAGTCCAACCCCTATACTTACAGTTTTTCTGGTGGCCTCTTTTTTGAGAAACAGATTGCTCTTACAGGTAATGTGAGTAAAAATGTGTGTTAAAAGAAATGCTGGAACATGTATGAACAACATTAATAAAAATGTAAAAATGCTTTCTTGTTCCCAGTAGGCAGAAGAGGATGTAATTGGGATGTTAAAAGGGTTTAAGGAATAAGAACTAAGGTGGTAAAAGTAGTCTTTCTCATGACAGTGACTCAGGCTGTGAAAGAACAATTGTTCAGGGGACAAGTGTGAAGGAGGAGCTAAAACCTGCGATGCTGCTGAAGGAGTGACTGTAGTGGACACTGCAGGTAAAAAAAGACAATCTCACAGTTTCAGTTAACTCCTTTTTTTTGTGTATTTATTTATGTATTTTAATAGGCTCTTCTTGGACCAGAATGAGTTGCACTATATAAAAATATTGTTTTGAAATGTTTGTGAAAATGTGAAGGGAATACACTTACAAGGCCAGAATTCTACATCATCCAGAGCAATGATGTGCCTAATTTGAAAGCATGATTAAGGTAATTGTATGTACAAATTTTACTATTTGCTGCCTAACTGACCATTACTTTTACAAATTTTTAATCTATGTACACAACTGCCATCATTGCACAGGTTAATTAAATGCCATTGAAAATCAGATTTGGTGTAAAGGTTATATTAAATAAATATCAGACTACTTAAAAATTATTAATTGATCAGTATTGAATGCCAGATGATATACATTTCAGAATAGGCTTCTGAAGAATTTTTATGATATTACTGTTAATCATTTTTATTGCTTATTTGATACATCTGTGAGTATGTAAAGATTGATTGCTCCTAATGCCTTTAAAATAATTGGAGTAAAAAGAAGGCTGTTGGAATCATGAATCCATTTTATATGCTAGTCAATTGAAAGAGTGAGAAAAAAAGAAATAAATCTTTGAGATCAGTTAAAAGATACAACAAATATAAAAATCTAATGGAATTTCACGTTATATTCACAGTTGTATTTTTAGATCATTAATTATTAGATGGATGTCAGTCCTGCAACTCAGGACCAGAAACGAAGTTTTTCCATCATTGCTAAATACCCAACTGCTATGCACAAGAAGAACAGTTCCTTTTGGGGGCTCATCTCTTCCTCCTCATTAGTTTTGAGTGTATAATGACCTGTTTTCATAGAGACTGATGATATTTCTGCCCAGCTGTGCTGTGGTTTGTATTATAACAGGCTCCCGAAGGGGTGGGACAACAATAATCAGGCCCCTGTGACTTTGAACGGTTAAATGTGAAAACAGGGGATGAAAACCACCTACCTTGTTTTTGGAACCAAAGGAGCGTGGCTGATTTCTCCTGTGCTCCTGTTTCTCTGCTGCCTGTCCACAAAAAGCCTGCTCAGATGCACACAGGTAGGACCTGGAGATTGGATGCTACCTCAGGACTGAGGAAAGCTGAAGGGCAAGTTACTTCTCTGCACGTGTTGAAGCCTAATTGTACGGACTTAGGAGATAAAACATCGCCTTAAAAGATACAAACTGTATTATAGCAAGGACCTGAAGGGTGAATCAGTGAGAAGGATATCACTTTCTTGTTTTATTGGTGACCTCCTTGGTTTTCAGTGCCTTCCGTCTTCAGTCCATTTTTTATGCCCCAAAACAAGTATCTTGCTGTTGGCTGTGATTTTTGTTGAAGTGCACACCTGAATTCCTCCTGAACTTCTGAAAAATCTCCACCAAAAGTTATATTTTTAACCCTATTTCTGCTTCATAGTGATTAGATCCACGCCTATCTTGTTGATACTTTCTTTCCCTTCCCTCGTTTCTTCTTCCAGTTCATAACCAATGCTCATTCCTGCTTTGTCCACCCCTGGGTGGCTGTTACCTTGTTGCAGCTGAATTCTCACCCTCCAAAAATCAACACCATTTCCCTCACTCATAAAAACGCTGAAGTTCAATAGAAGGTGATAATAAAGGGGTGATTATGTGGTAGTTATCACTCTGTGGGTATAACCAGTAACAGCAGGGATTCCTGACATATCATCCTTCCTTCAAAAACTGCCAGTGTCACTCCTTTTTTATGCTTTTGCTAGGAAAACTGGATCGATGGGCTAAGAATGTATACACTTCAGCTGACTTTAATGAGTGGCACAAATGCTGGAGAATTAATAGATGGGGGAACAGAAGTTAGGCAGGTGTATCTCGTGCAAAGCTGTGATGTTGGAAAGAATTGTGATCCACTGTATCAAAAATAAATTCAAAAAAGAGAGAAAACTAGAAAAGGAAAGCAAAAAAAAAAAAAGAGAAATAGAAACACTTGAAAAACTGGTGGGGAAATATATCTCTTTTTAATTTGAGAACATTGAATGGTTTGTCTGGCACTGATGTGCTATAGAAGAGTAATGTAAACCCTATTTGGGATTACTTCAAACAAAACCAGCACTGCAATTTTCAAACTCTGAATTTAACATCCTGTGTGCTCTGAGTGTTATTCTCTGTCTTAATGACAGACTGATAGTTCAGATAATAGAAGCACATGTGCAGTGTATTATTCCACCCCTTTGGTAGCAGAGAAGATGTTTTTGCTTGTGTCTCAAATGCAAATTTTCTCTCTCCCCCAAAGAAGTTTTGAGACTCCTTAATATTGTGCAGTATGAAATTATGAATTATAAATAATTCTAAAATTAATTACTCAATTAGACACAAATTCCTGTATTGATGTTGTTTACAATTTCAGATTCTATTCTTTGTATTAGCACTAATAGTGTGAGACTTGGTTACTTGAAGGACTGTTTTGTGTATCTTGTTATAGAAGAAGGACTGTAAATTCAAGATAAGGACTTGTTGACTTATCTAGGATTTTCTCTGAAAACGTCCTACCTGAGCTAACTAGGTTATGGTTTAAGAATACAAATTCCAGAATTAACCAGATCCTGGGATTTGTGTGCTAAAGAAAAGATCCAAAATTTTTCTTTTGACTGTATGTAATGCAAATTTGGATGATAATGATGGTTACACCTTAGAATCTACCAATTTGTGTAGTTAAATATTTTATATTTCCTTCATGAAAAGCATAATGATAAAAAAGCAGACTTAGGGAAAATTAATTCTGAGTCTCTCCAACATATTTTAAATCTTCTGTTTTATTGTTTTTATAACATTATCACTACATGAATTTTTAAAGTAAAAGTATTGTGATTCAGTACGAAATATCAAAAAAGTCGTTTGGGTCAAATGACAGAGAAACTACAGAAAGGTCTTGCTGCCCATGAGTGCCCAGGCTGGCCCAGCAACTGCCCCTGAAAGCCAAAGGTTCCAGACTTTGTTTCCCTGGGATAAGGACTGTTGTTTGATTTTTTTTTTTCAGCCCTGCACTGACACTGCCAGTCCCGCTCCCAAAATTCCATACGGACAAAGATTCCCCCCAGACCAAAGGTGCCACACCAGAAAGCTCTTGCTGCCCGTGGAGTGCCCAGGCTGGCCCACCAACTGCCCCTCAAACCAAAAGATTCCAGGTTTTCTTTCCCTGGGATAAGAGCTGTTGTTTGCTTTTTTCAGCCCTGCGCTGACACTGCCGGTCCCACTCCCAAATTCCGTACGGACAAAGATTCCTCCCAGACCAAAGGTGGCAGGAGAGAAAGGTCTTGCTGCCCAGGGAGTTCCCAGGCTGGCCCAGCAACTTCCCCTGAAAGCTAAAGGTTCCAGGCTTTGTTTCCTTGGGATAAGGGCTGTTCTTTGCTTTTTTCAGCCCCTTGCTGGCACTGCCAGTCCCACTCCCAAAATTCCCTACGGACAAAGATTCCTCCCAGACCAAAGGTGCCACACCAGAAAGCTCTTGCTGCCCATGGAGTGCCCACTCTTCCCCAACAACTGCCTCTCAAACCAAAAGATTCCAGGCTTTGTTTCCCTGGGATAAGGGCTGTTCTTTGCTTTTCAGAACCCTTTGCTTTTTCTCTGATTTTTTTTTTAAGTTGTTATTGACAAAGTAATTATGAGATATTATGATTTTTTTTTTTCATTTGGCCATGCCCTTCAGTTTCACACAGTTGTAGCCACAACTCAACTCGTTTAGAGTACTAGAAAAGTTTGTACATTTATAAGCTGCCATCTTAGTACTGCAAATAACTTATTGCTGTCACTGAAAGGGGGAGATGAGTAAAGGTGGGTCTTTTAACCTCCCCTCTGATAAAGCCAAGGTTTTAAAGCAACGTTTACTTTGCATTATAATATCAAATATTCTGTTAAGAAAAAATCAGTTGGGAATTACTGCACAGTATGTTTCCATCTTATGTGTGTTTAACAGCATGGTAAGATGTCAGTCTTAGCAGTTTGTTGTTGCTGTTAACACCCCAAATCCCTGCATTGTTTTTGAATTAAGGTTGCTGTGTACATGACAAGTGAAATTTGATCCCACTGAAATGCAAGGTACCTTCAAAACCTAAAGAACACAGAAATTAAAGGATTGGTTGCAGTATAGTTTTCCTGTGCAGTAAGACAGGCACAAATAGCCAATATGGAACTCAAACAGGTGGCAGAATATACACTAAATTCTCTGGTTTTCATTTGCTGGGTTTTCTTGCCTTTGTGCTGTATATGGTACAACCAGAATAACCAAAATGCACAGACAAGAAAGTGGTTTGGGGGAGGTAAATGCATAGGTTCTCTTTATAAAAACAGTTTGGGTTCCTGTATATCAGAAAAAGATCTGATCACCCTTAAGCCCTTCAGACAGGTGAAGACCAAAATGGCTGAACAGTTTTATGGAGAGAACAAAAGAAAAGGTAACATTTTTCTCCTTTGTTAAAGATCCTCACTGTTGTCCCCTCTTCAGCAGCTTCCTAGGCAGGTTTACTAATTTCCGGGGTTTCCTGGTCCTTCACAAAGTAATTTCTGATTCGTCAAAGATCATCTTCATCTAAAAAACTAAGATTCATGACCTAAACAAAATCCATTTTTGAGGCTCCTCAGTTGTTTCAGAAAACATTACTGGAGGCATATATCAAAAGGCAGTCTTATGTTCTAGTCCTGATCTTAAAAAAAATAAATATTTTTTTTCTAACGATAAAGTTTTTTTCTACACAAAGAATTACAGCAATTTTTTTCTTCTTTCTGTAATTAACCAAACAACTATAAAACCCTAGGGAGGAAATGAGATTTTCACTATACTAGATAGAAATATTCACTTTTCTGGAATTTGAGTTGAATAGTTGAATTTAAATGGGTTTCAGTAAAAATCTCACAAGGGTTATTTACCCAGATTTTCTTCTACAATTCTGTAAGATGTCAATGG